CAATAATTAAAAACGTTACTTCGAAAGTAGCCTAAGTCCAATCCATTATTGATAATGTCCGAAAGTGCGTCGTAGAAATGTCATTAAAGAAAAATAATTTACTGTTTGTCCCTCAAGTTTATTATAATGTTATCAAAAAGTGCCGGAAAGGTAATAACTTTATTCTAAATGAAGTGAAACAAGAGGATTTCATATCAACAAGATTTTTGAAGGACGTAGCTTTTAAAAGGGTGAAGAATTCTAACGGAGAAACAATAAATTGGTTAAAAATATGCTGAATGCGTTTTTTGAGAAATGAACCATATAAAATTTTCTATAAGATGTCAATGGATGAGAATGCAGAGTTTAAAGTCTTGGATTTATTACCACGTCGGAGTAGACCAAGGAAATTTGAAAATATTGTATTGACACCGCTTTATAAAAATATAAGACGAATTACAACAGCGAAATACAAGGACATAATAGATTTACTACGATATATATCACCATGACTTCTTCAAATCCTTCTCACATACACAAAATGTAGATGAGCAGTAAATTGTTATGTAATTTATATAGTTAGAAGATTTCCTGAATTGCATAAATTGTGTTTTTGAAGTATTGTAAAGAAATATAAAATAAATTGAATATTGTATTTTCAATTTGAAGCATTTTAAATTATGTCGAATGGACTTGGGCTCTTTCAAATTTTATAACAAATCTAGTTGTTAATTTTGAAAGTGGCTAACTCCATTTGTGGTAAGAGAACACGTATTATTCACTTAATAATTGCTATTATTTTAGTAGCAATTGTAAATTTGACTCTCTTAGATACACTTAAGCAGTGTGACACATTGGTATCCTATACGTATATTTTTAATTTTATTGAAACGCAAACTCTTAAATATCTCAATTTAAATATAAATGGACTTAGGTCACTTTCAAAATAAACGGCTCATGTATACATATATAATTTATATATATGTTTATATACTTTATATATATAATTCTATGTGGCCAATAGGACGTAAGCTTGGCAGTAGGAAGTTGGTATTTCGCCGGCGAGGTTTGAAAATGCCGCTAAATGAACAATTTCGGAAGTAACGAAGAAGTTGGCCTGAAACTGACGAAAAAACGATCATTCGAACCGTCAGATCGATTTCAATCAATATGTTAAATTACAACGCGCTGAGTCAACACGGCCGATCGCGCGCAAATGACGCGAAACGGCTGGACGCGTGTGAGAAACGTGGAAGAAGAGCTTCCAGCTGAGGGATTCGCGATCGTTCCAATTTCCGACAGCGAAATTTTCAGCTCTCCGCGTTCACGCACGCTCCGTATTGGAATCACGGTGTTTCGCGGTAACGTTCTATTAAAATAACAATCAGCCCGACCGGTAACATGCGGATGCATTGACCGGCCGTTTCATTAAGTTCCTCGCATCACGATGACGTTGCTCTGAAAGCGGACGTTCGTTGAATGAGCCTCGTTTTAGTAAAGCGGTCGCATCGAAAGAGAACGCGCGCGAGCGAAAGAAAGAGAGAGAGAGAGAGAGAGAGTACCTGTCCGATGCGTCTGTCCGCGGGGAAGCTTCTCCAGTTGCCATGTTACCCTGTTCGCCGTACTCTCCTGTCACGCACGAGGGGCCAGCGAGGAAGGAAGGAGATACGATTCGGCGCCGTCGCTTTTTCACACCGCGAACAGCGACGCGCGCCGAGACAGAAGGACTGTCAGCGATATCGAGTTTACCTGCGAACGCGCGTATCGCAAGCTTTCGGAAGTATCGCTGGAATATATCGGACGGGCCCAAGTATTATAATAGCATTGTGCCTCGCGACGCGGCTCGTCAGAAAACTTCCGCTTCTTCCTCCTCCGTCCTCCACCGGTTACCTGCCCGTTGTCTCCTCTCTCTCTTTCTTTTTCTCTTTCTCTCTCTCCCTCTGTCGTTCCTTCGTCCCGATTCAATGCGGGCGAATCGGGTTCATTCGCCCAGCAGACTGCATATAAATCGAAACATCGTCGAGCAACTCCGGCAGCGACATCCCGCCTGCATCCAGACGGAAGTTGTGTTACCGCGGGCTGTTAGCAGCTTTCTCTGTTTAGCAAAGCTTCATTATTAACGGGACTTCGAAAGCTACGGTTTTATACTGTAAAGAAAAACGCTTGGTTGTAGTTGACAAATGCATTCGGTTGTTTCGGTACAATGTTCGTTAATTAGTGCCGAGTGATGGTTAACATTTGGTGATGATTAGTAATTGAAATGAGTAATTCAGAATTTTTCATTGAGTTGAATTGAAATTATTGAGTAAATAATGCCACATAATTTAGTAATAATTACCAAATAGTTTGACACTTTCGCCCCAAGTATTTGGCAACTATTGCCGGTGAATCTTGACAATAACATCACAGGTGGTCGAAAAAGCTCTTCTGGTTCGGTCGGCGTCCCGGTATAATTTTGTCTGAAATTCTTACGGTGAAAAGGACGTTTTCAGAATTCTTGAAGTATTTCGGAATCGTGGAAATTTAAGTTTAGCGTCGTCAAAATATCTTGTACAGGGTGTCCCGTTTTAATAGAAACAGTGGAATATCTTGAAAGCAAAGCGTGAACTCAAAATTGATGAAAAAATGGCTCGGACAAAAGTTACCGAGTTTGGAGTGGGACGTAAGTTGGCGACTTTAACTTCGTCGTGTAATCGGTAATTGAAGACCAAGGTCTCCTCCAAACTCCGCAACTTTTGTCTGAACTATTTTTTTTTTTCGCCAATTGTTTCGTTTGCAAGATGTTTCACTGTTTCCGTTAAAATGAAACACCCTGTATATTAGATGTATGCATTAATTCGGTGCCTTTAGCCTCCTCCATTTCTATGTATAAGAAGTATATCAAATCCGAATATCTTTCGCTCAGTTGTGATTTTAAAGAGCTGTCATCTGTGTTTGCAAAATACCGAATTGTGAAAAACAGGTCTTGCGATTTCGGCCGAGTTTCTCGATTTTCAGGAGCAACGTCGCTCCTCGAAGGAAACAATGTCAGCGTATTCGGCATTCACGTCGCATATTTTTTTACAGGAAAGCCACGGTAATAATCTTGGCTTCTCGTGCGGTGTGCGCGAGACACTGTTCCATTGACCGTATCACAAATTCATGGATTTCCAAAGTACAAGAGTAAACTTGGTATACCAAGTAGATGAGGTACCGGCACTTTAGGGAATAAGCTAGCTGCTCCAATGTCTCAATTGCGAATTACAGAACTCTAAAGTAGGAGAGTAAACTCAGTATAACGCCATTACCTTACCTGCCGATCCGGCTGTAAGCCTAGAATTTGCTCTCAGAACTTGGGGTAATTTGCTAACGTATTATCGCAACGACGCGGATTATTTTGTTAATAATGCGATCCACGACGCGACACGCGAAATGCAATATCACGATTCGATTTTCGCGTATCTTTCGAATATGAATGAAACATTTCGGAGAAACATTAATATACACGTATATACAGTGTTTGCCGGTAAATCTAGATCAAATTATCTAAATAATCTAGATAAATTTCTAAGATAATCCGGATAAAGTTAATGAAATTTGTAAGATAATCTAAATAAAATTATGTAAATAATCATCCAGGTAAACAAATAGATCGTCTTTAGTTTTAGACGGAACTCTAGACGGAAGAAATACAAAATATATTCATCTTCATCTTAGATAAAGAAATGGACATATTATCTCATCTAAAAATTATCTGAAATGAATCGATCAAATGAATGAAATAATATGGACATATGCGTTAAGTCCGTATCAGACTAGGGATTGGAGATTAGATTTCAACGTATCAACAAATTTCGGTTTTGTCTCCTTGGTCTGTTCTTTTCAGCCGCATTGCTGAACTGATGCAACTAAAAAGAACAGATCATTTGCTTCAATTGATCAACCCATTTTAAGCCTGTATCAAACTGTCGACTGTGAATGAGCAGTCAATGATTATTGGCCTTTCTTGTTAGACCCTTAAATTTAAAGCGATTATATTGACGAAAACTTAACCGTTGTGCAATTTTGCGGTCTGCGTAATTTTGATTATCAATTTTTATAAAGTTCCTCATGAAAGCAATACCATCTAGAAAATTATCTAGATAAGTAGCGCTACTCATTTAATCTTTCATTTAGATAAATCAAAAGCAAAATCATCTTCACCTCAGATGAATTTTTCGGATTTTCGTCTCATCCTCATCTAGATGAATCTGAAGTCGTCTAAGGCAAACACTGCGCGTGAATTTATCATCGATCACATATGGGTGTGGCATTTATTTTCAACGTAAATGTCGTGCATTATGTCATTGCATGCATATTTGAACAACAGTAAAAACATTGTCAAAAGCAATATATAATTGGCGCGTCTCCCACTTGTAAAATTTGTTCATGTATTAATCACATATATAACATCCGATATGTCAAAGTCAGTAATAAATAATCGGTGAAAATATCATCCGTTCCGTATGTCGTCGTGACATATCGTGCGGTATTAGTAAATATATATTTTAAATAAATAATTTACAAAACAAATTAAGTCTAACTTATACACAGTTGCGCGTTGTTGACGAGAGAAATGTCGTGTGGAAGTTTATTATCGTACAAATGGTGTTTCAAGTCTCATTTTCAAGTGCCATTTCGTCAATTTATTGCAATTATCACGGAATACGGGCGAGATACGTCAAATTGCCATTGTTTAACGTAAACCTCACACATGCGAAGTTAGATCGAAAACCAATGCGTTAAATATACGCACCACGTTTAGAAATATATATATATATATATATATATATATATATATAACCTGTCGTACGTAATCAGGGTAAATCCTCCCCATTGTAGTCCCTGTTATTACAGTTCCGTGTATTATATAATGATATTGCATATAATAAATATATTGATATATAAGGGAAAATATATATATATATATATATGCCGGAAAAACACAACGTCATTATCTCATCAATGTTATCGTATCTACTTGCGACTTGCAAGCACTGACTTTAACTCGCGTCCGCCGCCGCGGATGCCGCGGCATCCGCGCTCACTTTCGCCTCGCCATCGCCGTCCGTCGACGCGGAGGATTTCGCGCTCGCCGCGGCTTCGCTCTTTGCGCCCTTCTTGCTTCCGGACTTCGCCTTCGCGCTGGCCTTTGCCGAGCTCTTTGCGGATTTGCCGGAGGAATCCGCGGACGCCTTGGCGTTGGCCGACGCGTCCGACGAATCTTTGCCGTCGCTCGCTGAGTTCGCCGACGCGCTCGCGTCTGCCGTCGCGTTCGATTTCTCTTTCCCGGCTTTCTTAGACTCTTCGTCGTCCGAATTGCCGTCCTCCGCTGAATCGTCCGATTCTTTCTCTTTCTTTTGCGATTTCGCTGACGATTTTGCGGCCGCCGACGCGTCGGCGTTCCCCTCGTCGCCTTTAGATTCCGCCGCGGCCTCGGCGTTCGCCGACGACTCGGATCGCCCGTTTCCGTTGTCGTCGTCGCCATCGTCGTCGTCGCTACCGGATTTCTTATTACCGTCCGACGTTGCCGCTGCCACCGCGCTTGCGGCCGTTGCCGCGACGGAGCTTCCCTTCTCTTTGCCTTTGCCGACAGCAGCGGAAGCCGCGCTTGCGGCCGTTGCCGCGACGGAGCTTCCCTTTTCTTTACCTTTGCCGACAGCAGCGGAAGCCGCGCTTGCGGCCGTTGCCGCGACGGAGCTTCCCTTTTCTTTACCTTTGCCGACAGCAGCGGAAGCCGCGGCTGCGGCCGTTGCCGCGACGGAGCCTCCCTTTTCTTTACCTTTGCCGACAGCCGTGGAAACCGCGTCTGCAGACGCTTCCGCGGCGGAGCTTTCCTTTTCTTGAACTTTTCCTTTACCCTTAGCAACAGCGGCGGAAGCCGCTTTTGCGGACGCTTTCGCGACGGAGCTTCCCTTTTCTTTACCTTTGTCGACCGCCGTGGAAACCGCATCTGCAGACGCTTCCGCGACGGAGCTTTCGTTTTCTTGAACTTTTCCTTTACCCTTAGCAACTGCGGCGGAAGCCGCCTTTGCGGACGCTTTCGCGCCGGAGCTCCCCTTTTCTTTACCTTTGCCGACCGCCGTGGAAACCGCGTCCGCGGACGTTTTCGCTACGGAGTTTCCCATCCCTTTACCTTTTCCTTTACCCTTAGCAACTGCGGCAGAAGCCGCCTTCGCAGTCGCCGCCACGACGGTGCTCCCTTTTCGTTTACCCTTGGAAACAGCAGTGGCAGCCGCGTTCGCTACCGCGCTACTCATCGCAGTCCCCGAACTTTTTGAACCCGAGCCGTCATTCCCCGTATCCTCGCCACCCCCGTCACTACCGTCTCCCGTACCGTCCTCTTCCCCGCTGCCGCCTCCCGCACCTTCTCCGTCGTCGACCCCGGTACCGTCGTCTTTTCCACCGCCACCTCCCGTACCGTCGCCTTCCCCGCCGCCGCTTCCTCCTCCACCGCCGTCTCCTCCATTGCCGCTTCCGGTAGCGCAGTCTTTTCCACCTCCAGTGCCGCCTGCCGTACCGTCGCCTTCCCCATCGCCCGTTCCACTGCCTCCTCCACCGCCGCCTCCCGTACCGTCGCCTCCTCCATCGCCGCCCCCCGTACCGTCGCCCCATCCGCCACCGCTTCCGGTACCGCCGCCTCCATTTCCGCTCCCGGAACCGCCACCTCCTCCGCCAGCGCCTTATCGAGAAAACATGAGATATTGTCGCATCGCGTGTCGAAATATTGACGGATCGCGTCGCGAGATCACTCTTTCGCTTACCGTCGCGGCAATCATGGCATCCTTTTGACTTTTTGTCCCCCCCCAGGATTCCTAGATCCAGCGATATCTACAGAGTGGTGTTTGTTACAACGATTAGCGTTTGATTCTTGCCGATTATTCAGGGACGCGACGCACTATCCGTGAGACACGGATAACACGGGGTTTCCGGCGGGTCGTGTTTTTTGTTGTATTACGCGTTGTTCGTTATAAATGGCAATTGAAACGTACCAGTGACTTATGCTTGCCGCCGCCGAGTAAATCGCCCAAGCCCAGGATGTCGAGACCGCTGGGAAAGGCGACTGCCAACGGCACGGCGACCGCCAGCAGAATAACAACAATCTTCATGCTTCGTGGAATACTGACGATTGCAACAAATAATTCGCCCATTTTATACTCTATGTCGCAATTGTGAAAACACAGGTCAGCTATATTTCCGTTCATTTCGTAAAAAATTCGTTTTTCTTAAAAATGTTATCGATCGCGCGTGTCGCCCGGCAGACTATATTTATTGCTACAGATGCCGCAGCCGCATCGCTTGCAATAACAGCCGCTTTCTTTGAAATTCACACGCACATGCCGAGGTATATATAAGGTAGAGGAGGCTGAATGCGAGAAATCTTCCCCGCGGTTGATCGATTTCCAAATGTATACACGTAGATTTATCGCTTCGCACTTCATCATCGCTGCGAACGCGTTTCGTCGTGCAACATATTTTATTCACCGCCGTAAATTAAAAAGGACCCCCCCCCCCCNCCCCCCTCCCCCGGCAAGCTGGCTGCGTAAGCTAAACTGACACCTGGCCCTGTAATTTTGTAATGAAAAATAACAAATATCCAAGTGGGCGAAATACAAAACGTATGATAACAAAGTCCTAATTATTCAAGCACTCATCCGTCCGTATTGCTTAATTGACGACACGCTCCGACGATAGAGAGATAAGAACGCGGGATCGCAAATATCAGCGACAAAGGAGACTGTTATTTTCCTTATTGGACGAAACACACTTTCTTTTTTCAACGTTACTCTGCGAGAAATAAAGCGTCGACGGAAGGGAAGGCGTTCCCGTATTAAAAACCGAGCGAGCTTTCGCACGATAATAATTTACAGCAGCGTCGAACGTTGACGTCGCATGTTAAGTATCCTCGACATTTGTTGCAATTCTTTTTCAAATATTTCCTCGACGCTCGTTCCGAAATAACGCATCGAGAGAGGCGGTGCGAATAATCATCGGATCCCTCTTAAAAGCGCGTCTCCCGAGGAAAGCCCCGCGCGAGGAGGTCCCATGGAATTTTTTCGCCACGGAGAAACGAAAGAGGAAGAGAAGACAAGCCTGGATTTCGCGTGCCCCGATATTTATGTAATGAAATACGCCAACCGTGGCTCGACTAACGAGCTACGAAACGGGGCTTACCGGCGGTTAACTAAAGTTCATAAACGCGGCCGCATCCTCCCTTAAATTATCCACTGACCGGCCGTCGTTTTATTACACAGCCGCGCTGTTGATTGGCCGCGGCCCGTATAAATCAACCTGCGCGGCATTGTTACTTCTTGCAATTAAAATCGGATAATTTCGCAAGAGACAATCACGCGCCGTACATAACTGTGCCCGGCCGTAAAACTTCTCACCGGATATCTGCGTAGTCTCAACTTACCTCTCGACGTACCTTCCGCCCTTCCTTCCCTCCCCCCTCCCTCCTCATCGTCCCGCATCGAACGTCAGCTTTTTCGCGAAGCAGCCCTTCGGGCGATTCTAATTCATTTCATCGCGTTCAACGTCACGGCAACGTGGACGCTTCAAAGTTGGCCGAGCGAAAGCTCATCGGGATGCTTTTCCACCTCCGACCATTTGCAGGCAGCGATCCGCGTTCAGGATAAAAGGGGAAAAAACGCCGGCTGGCGTAATTCCTTATTTTGCAGGTTCAAGTCAGATTGAAACGTCGGGACGAGCTTGTGAGCGACATCACCGTCACTCGTCGTCGGTGAATTTTGGTCACGTCGGAGAGTGGCTGAGGAGGTGGAGGAGAGGGGGGGGGGTGCAACCTGCTCCTGCGAAGTATATATACACGCGCAGACCGCCGCCATTTGGAAGCTTCATCTCGCGATTTCGCTGATGTCTTAGAATATTAGACTATTTTCCGCCCGGCTGCGCCGGATGAAGCTATTCGAGCTTCTTCCCGCTCCTTTTTTCTTCGTTTCCGGTCTTTTCCCCGTGTCGTACGCTCCTGTATCACTTGTTCCCCAGAGAAACGAGAAGAACGGTGTCGGAAACATGGAGGATGGAAAAGAAATTTGCGTTTTAGATGGCGCCGCGAGGGTGAACACCTGACGTTGTAATTACGTGCTCACATGTCGCGCCGATTATTGAGCGTCGGAGGATTCGTGGAAAAAAATTTCGTCCTTGTGCGGTCGGCGGAACTGATGGAGCGTCAAAACCTCCGACGGAAGGGGGCTTCAACGTAGAGTTCCGAATTATTTGTTGCAACACTGGCAGTTATTTAACACCGGTAAGTTGCTTGTTACATCAGACGCTGCGTTTCCTCCACTTGAAAGTAAAGTCTGAGCTTTCCTGCAGCGAAAGAATCAAATCTCTTCGGAAGGTCTCACTCGAAGAAAATTTTTACTTTCTAAATGAGAGAAAGCGAACCATTTAACAGTGAAGGAAAACCTCTCTATATTTACAAGGTGTTCCAAACTAATCTTGGTTCCCGTAGAAAAAACTAAAACTGAAAGAGAAAAGAAAAATCTGGAACTGAGCAGAAAAGTCCTATGCTATTTTGCAAATAACACGCAAATTGTTGAGTTATTAATTAAATAAGCCTCTATCAATGACCATTTTCAATGATTGATAACTCGACATTTTGCGTGTTATTTGCAAAACGGTATACGGTTTTCTACTCAGTTCCATTCATTCCACTTGCACACCACGGGAACCGAGATTAATTTGGGACACCCTGTATAATTGAAATAATATGTATATTTACAATATGACGTATTAATTTTCCGTCGTAAGCTTCTTGGTGTCTATAAGGCAATAGACGTTTCGAAAAACATCTTTTTTCTTAGAATGCTTTTCTTGACAAGTTAATATAAATTACATAGAATTTAATACAAGAGGAATACAAAGAGTACGAAAATCGACCCGCATTTCTTTCAGGTTTACGAACTCTGGCATAAGAGGATATATTTAAGCAGTTCAGTTTTCCCCTCTTCTCTTGAAATAATATTAACATCGAGCCTTGAAAATCCACCGTTCTCAACTAGTTGCGCGTTAACGTTTGTTATTCCGCGCAAGCGGAGGATTCTTGCTGTACGAAGCTTATAAAAGTATCATTGAAGCGACGAGCGATCACTACGTGCTGTCTAATCCGTCATAAATAAAATGCGTATCACTCGCACACATATAAGAGCCTCGAGCGCGCAAATATTTTCAGATCGATACGAGCTGATTCGAGTGCCAGATACAAAGGGTGGCGGGGTACAAAGAGTACAATGAAACGGCCAAGCTGCTCGCGGCGATAATTGTACGCTGCACTTCCTATAAATGTAATAATTCAGCTCGCGAAATCTATCGTTCCTATCTTAGAAAGGTACCTTTCGCACTTTCCATTCTTGCTACGCGGGAAAAGAAGTTAGTCTCAAATCAAGAATAAAAATTCTCATACGTTTGCCTCGTCAATATAATAATAATCCATCCTAAATGAAGCTTTGTTCTCCGTATTGTGAAACCCGTGAAATAGTCTTTCTAGCCGAAGACCAATAATATCCAATTGCATGTAAAGTCGTTGACGCTGAGATCTATATCGAATTATTTGTGAAAAATATAAATGTTTTATTTGTAAAAGATTTGTCTGACGTTCTTTAACAACTATGTTATAAATAGCGGCCAGAATAGCGGAAAATAAAGATTTTTTTAACAAAACAATTTTAGTATTTTCTTATTTTTATACCTTTAAATTCCAAATATAAATAATTACATTACATTTACAGTACATTACATTTACAGTACATTACATTTACAGTACATTTAGAAAATCGTACTTCTCGATAGCCAGTTTTATTCGGACAGAAACATTTTATTACGAACGTTCTTTAAGACGATTTTGTAAATTACATTTTACTTCAACGAAGTCAATATATGGCCTAAAGGATGAATCGTTTTTATATAACTGTTATAACTGTTGTATTCCTTATTTTATCTGTATTTTATATTCAGAGGGAGTTTATATTCTTTCGTTCATCTAACAATAATAATAATAATAATAATAATAATAACTATTAACACCACAGCCATACTGCGGAAGAAAGAGTCAGAGTAGACACCTGCTGGGGAAATGGTCCCATCGGCTATAATTCTCTCATTAATTTATGCAATTATAGTGATAATAGTGACGAAGGCCAAGACTTTTCTTCCAAGTGTGGCGTCGAGAATAATTCCCGCTCTTTGGCGACGCGCGTTTACCACCATCGCCCACGAATACCCGCGATATATTTGGGGC